TTTTTTATCTTCTGTGTGAATTTTTTTATAGCCGATACGCTAACTCCGGTATAAAGAAATATCCGCTCAAGTTTACGTTTAAGCGGCAACTCAAGCGAACTCTCTGTAGCTTCTTCATCGCAAACCCTATTATGAACACAAGGAAATACACCAAATGAGATTTCATCCACGTTATTATTAACTTACCTATATAAATTAGCTATTATTTCTCTTGTCTGACTATGTAGCGTCTTACCCTTAACAAATTTATTCGTTTTAAAACACAAATATACGATCAAACTTGATATTAATAATTAAAAACTACGAACGAAAAACATTATAACAAGATAACAAAACAATAAAACACAACTTAACTATCAAATATACTAAAAATATAGGAATAAAGTTTAGGATAACCGGTATAAAATAATGAAATAAAGTAATAATGATCAAAAAAATGACACCGCCACTGGATATTTCAATAGTATTCAATATTCCTACTCTTTTCAGAAGAGACCGTGAAGTTGGGGATAAAGCAAGCGAATAGGAAAGGCGTAAAAGCCATGGCAACCGGTGTTAACAAATCCTGTGACACTCGCCAATGTGTTCGATGAATAGGCGGCCATGCGCGGCGATGCCGGTTTGCCAATGATATCGTTGAAAATCTTCAACTTTCATAATAGGAAGATTACAGAATAGAAGAAAGAAATAAGTTATTAAATAAAACATCGAACAATATGAACACGTTAAAATTCCTTAGTAATATACGTCAGAATATATGCTAAACACATTATATATAATAAAAATATATTAAATTTATAGTTCATGTCTGGCAATTTTGCAATTTTATAGATAAACGTGGCAATATCGATTTTTTTTTCTCGCATTCCTTCCGTAGCTACAGATCCGCTGGTCAAACAGTAGGTATTGTAACTAGTACTACCGTATTACCTAGCTACCTATTATACGAGTAAAGAAATCTGCCACTAACATCACTATATTATTATCAACGATTTATTTCCTACTACGGTAAACATTTCACTATCATATCATTCGTGCAATAATAAAATCCATGAATGGGAAAGAATTATTAAAAATTTAGTAATGGATGAACACACCGATTTTCGTTCATTCATTGCGGTTGGCGAATGCGTATAGATGACTATAGTCTAGCAGTAGCGTCCGAGCGATTTTTTATGAGAAAATTATTTTACATATTTTTTATGTTGATACTTTAAGTTAATAAAATTAGTGTTATGGAATGTATTATACAATTACATCGGAAATTACATATCCTAATTCCCGTGTTCGATTGAAAAAAAAATAAATGAAATTGAAGTTTTATTTTGGCATCTTTAAGCCATAATATGTATCGAAACTTTAATCCATCGAAAAAATGAAGTCATAGGAGCCATATATATTGCATTAAAAATTGGCATAATAATATGTCAAAAAGTGGTATTTAAATGGAAACGAGAAAATAGATCTTTGTCTAAAAACTAAATTAATTACTAATTTTTGACCGTTTTTATGTTAATTTTTAATAAAACATATACCGGGTGGTGCATGGTCGTTGGAAACATAGGAAATCGCATGCAAATTTAAAACTGTCCAGGATATGGGCTCTCCTGTTAATTTTTCAGTAAAGTTGTAAATAGGTTTTTATAAGTCTGCGAGGGGTGTCTCACTATTGGAATTACGTGTACATTTTCTTGGTAGTCGCTGGCAGTTATTGGCAGTCTTATGGCAGTCACCTATAATAATTACAAGTTGTAAATAGGTTTTTTAAAGGTCTGCCTATTCTGAATTCACATAAAAAAAATTTAAGAAATTTAAGAAAAACTGCATCTATTTGGGAATTAAAACTAAACAGGTAGCAATGCAAAACCTGGCAAATGCGTACATATCTTAAGTTTTCATCCTATAATTTTGTCAATGTTAAATTGTATTTTCTAAACGTTAGATTTTTGTCCCATTCGAACCAGATATAAATTAACATTTCGGGATTACATACATTTCGGGGACACTAAGGTAGGTACTATAGTGGTATAGAGAGCACAACAAATTACATTTAACAATGATAAAATCGTAGATTGACAACTTAAGGTCTGTTGACATTTGACTGGTTTTATATCGTTACTTGTTCAGTTTTAATTCAAAAATAGATGCAGTTTTTCTTAAATTACTTAAAATCGGCTTGTCCAGAATTGTACAAATTTTTTATGTGAATTCAGAATAGGCAGACCTTTAAAAAACCTATGTACAACTTAACTATAAAATTAGCAGGAACACCAATATTTGGACAGTTTCAAATTTGCATGTAATTTCCGATGTTTCCAACGACGATGCACCACCCGGTATAGTACAGTCATTTGATTCTAACAAAGGTTACACGAAAAGTTTATAGATTTCGATATGTTCTTTCGGAATTTTAACTTTGCCACCTCGTATCCTTACCGCTCGCGCTGCCATATTGTAAAAGTGGCGCTTAAAAGCACTTTTTGGCAATATCTATTTTCTTTATTTTACGATAAAAACATTTATATACAAGAGATGTAGATCTTCATTTGACGACTCCATATACGCCTCCAAACATATACATTCTCAAACCAGAAAAAGAAAAAAATTGCAACAAACCTTACAAATACCAAGAGGATGTCAGGGAACCTGGTGGATACAGAAAGGCTACGATAACAAAAAACGCGCCGCTTACTCTACCTCAAAGTTAGAAAGTACCTTTTACCTTGCTCAGAAAAAAGATTTTTTTGACCAAAACGCATTTAGAGTACATCATTTTGTGGCCCTAGTACCCCCAAATATAGATTTCTTGAAATAAAAAGAGCTTGTTACATAAATTGTAAGAAATTGCCTCTAGTCTCATTTATTTGTATATAAATGTTTTTATCGTAAAATGAGTGTAAAAAAAGATATTGTCAAAAAACTGATTTTGGGCGCAAATTTACCTATATGGCTGCGCCAGTTGCAGTAATATGATGTAACGATGTTAGAATTCGGGAAGGGCAAATCGAAATCTGTAAAATTACCCATTTTCAAAACTCCCAATACACTTGCTAGGTAAAACTCCCAAATGACTGTACTAATCTGGATAGGTTTAACAGACATTCATCGTTTAGCCCTACATGTTAGTCCTTCTCGACCAAATGCTTAAAACTGAATGATATGAAAAAACGCTATGAAATTGCAAACTAGCCATTTCATTAGATTAGAAATTCTTTATGCCATCTATTTTCTGGTTTATTTAATGTTTTAAAGTATCTCTACAATTAAGGTAGGTAATAGATAAATAAAAATAATTATTTTGTGAAACTGACATATATGTATGTTAGTTAGAATCAAATTATTTTCTAATACAGAAATAAACGGTGTCAGCGATGGCTAAGAAATGATGATCGTTGTCATTTATAATATGTAAAATTATATGGGGAATATCATCGATGTTCATTTACAAGCCAACTAGATGCCGTTTTTTTTCGATCATACGGTATTATACAAAATGCTTAACAGAATATTTTTTTTAATGTAAGGATAAGAGATTTTTGATTTAGTTTTCTGTGCTTTTTAAAACCAAATGGTAAAACGGGTAAATTAAATTTTATGAGCATAAACCACAATCTTATTTCGTTTTTGATTATTGTTCTACCATTTTCACTTTTTAAGTTTTCACTTTTTTTAACTAGGTATAAGAATTTAACATAAAGTAATAAATGTAAACTTCAATTATTTTAATATATTTGTTTTTTTTTCAAACGTCACAAAGGTATTAATTTTTGCGACGTGATTGACAATATAAAAAAGTCATTTTAACGCCTCGGCATAAAAGTAAAGCACTTTGACGCCTAAGCATAAAAGTACGAAAATATATTATTAAACTGACCTCAAATTTAATGAGCGTAACCATAGTTTCTCGATATATAATTACATACAAAGTATGACTTTTAAATATTTTTATATTTTTATAATTTTTATATTATTTGGAACGTTGGAAATTGTTTAAAAACTTATTTGTGGCTATGTAAAAAATAGACTATTCTATTCGAAGTAAAAATGACTGACTGACTTCAAATGAATGAAAACTGAGTTTGAGTTACATTAATCATTTGTTAACTGTGAAACTCACAGCCTACTTATAATCATAAAACCTATTTAATCATAGAGTACTTTATTTAATAACAATAGAAGTTTAAAATAAGATTTTTACAAAACTGTTAATTATACCTACTATTCTACTAATATTAATCGTTGTCATTTTATATGTAAAATTATACCATACGATCGAAAAAAAAACGGCGTCAACGACGCCTGCGAAATAACAATCGATGATAATTTTGGCTATGTCAGTTCTACACTTCATTTTTACTTGGCTCGTACTCTTCTTTATTTTTTAATTGCGCTTTCTGCTAACTTAAACTAATAAACTAACTGGACTTAAGAGGTTGTCATTTATTTTCATTTTGAATTAAAATGATGTTTAACTGCTGTAGTTTAAAATTCGATTTTTTTTAATCTTTCTATGTATAATTAGTGTTAATTTTTGACGTTTGAAGTTCTTTGTCAATTATAATAAAGAATTTCTAGAGGTTGACTTTTATCATTGCCAAAATTATCAATGATTGTCATACCCCAACCGTCTTTGACACCGTTTTATTTTATTATACGGTATATGCATGAGGAATATCATTTATCGAAACATTCAACCCAACTTGACGCAATTTTTGCAATCATTTTTGAGCCCAAAAGGAATAGGTATATGTAATAAATTATTATATAAATCCCTTTATTAAATTATATCACAACTTTCTTGTTGAATTTTAATATCAAAATAATTATTTGTAATTTCCGTTTCTCTAATTTAAGATTTAGGACTAAATGGTAAATTTTAAAATTAGAGAATATATTAACTAAACACCCACTACCTCCGCCCATGATATCCACATGCAGAGTGTCGTAAGCATACGTCACCATTTTCGCTTCCATTCATGAAACAAATGCGAACCTTTAAATTCGATCGCGCCCTCGCGCGACACAACCGATCCTTGTTTGTCCCTTGCCATTACGGATATTATTCATTTTTTCGGGCACGGTTACCGGACAAATCGACAAAAGGACGGTAAGAAACGTGATGAAAAAAATGCAGAGTTGCGACATAGGAAGTGGCCAAGCCTTTTAACTTTTTCGTAGTCCGTAAAAACGAGAAACGCGTAGGTTTGCTGCCGCTCTTTCTGTCTCTGTCGCGCCGTCGTTCTGCTCGGTCGGTCGTTCATTTGTTCACGTCAAATCCATTCATTTTTTTTTTGATCATGAAGTAAAATCAAACATGGCGGCCGAAACATACAAAGTGAGATTAGTCGAACGGCTAAAAATTAAAATAGGTAAGTTAATGTGTTGTTTTATTAGTACATTTATTAGTTTATCCATAAAGATAAATAGTAAAGCCATGCGCCAATGACTGGCCTTTGTCGATAGCGATGCTAAGCATTGTTGACATTTTGAGGTTGGCTCACTGCAGGTGGTAAGATTTTATGAATCAAACTAATGAATTTGTTATTTGATAACAGTTTATTTTCATATACCAATGTCTTTTAAGGCGAAGCCAAGAATTTACCCACAAGAAGCCATGGATCTTCCACACAAAGAGATGTTTACTGTACTCTATCTCTAGATCAGGAAGAAATATTCCGGACATCCACGGTACATCAATCTCTGAGGCACGTATAACGTATAACCTACATAAATTAAGCCTTTTTATTACATATATCTAATTAACTAAATACAGTGGTACTAAACCTATTTTTTTCCTTCAACAGCCCATTTTTTGGAGAGGAGTTCCAGTTTGATGTGCCTCGTGATTTCCGATTTATTTCCATCTACGTTTTTGACAGAGACCGACAAAACAACAAACAGGATAAAGTTTTGGGCAAGGTAGCTATTCGAAGAGAACACCTTGCTTCCTACAATAATAAAGATCATTGGTTTTCAATCAAAGCAGTGGATGCGGATAGCGAAGTGCAGGGAAAAGCGAATATTGAAATTCGGTTTGAACATATATTTGCAAGAAACAAAAATTTGAGTTTTTCAACCAACACCAAAAAATTGTTTGTGAAAGTTTCGGAGTGCTTGGATTTAACATTAAAGAATGGGGCTTGTGATCCTTACGCGTTAGTCTGTGTAACATATACAAACGGTAAACGTCTTTCAAAAAGAACTAAGGTGCGTAAAAAAACTACTAATCCTCAGTTTGAGGAGGAGTTTTCATTTAACTCATGTGAAGATAGTGATGGTGATTCGGAAGTTTGTGAACTCTTGGTGTCAATATGGCATGATACCCCGGGAATGAGTGATGATGTGTTTTTGGGAGAAGTTAAAGTGCAGCTCAGGGGCCATCAGCAGCAGAATGCTGCTCATCGAAAAGCTTGGTAAGTTTTTGTATGTTTTGAAAATGCCCAGAATATAGTTTAGTATGCCTACAGTGCAATTTATTTTCTCACTTCACAGACTAACTTTTATTTGAGCTAGTATATTTATAAAATAGGACAAATTGCTGTGATTTTAGTCAAGCTTTTATAGTATGTAAGATGTTAGTATTACAAATAATATCAGAGATCACAGCTATTGACATAACCTACCTAAACTGTATTTAAACATGTTAAAAGGACAAAAGAAAATTCTATAACACTATACCTTATATTGCAGCATTTTTAAATATCCTAGTTTATATTATCATTCTATAACACTACACAGATAAAATACGATGAAAAAAAACGGCGTCAGCGATGACTATGAAATGAAGATTGCTGTCATTTTATATGTAAAATTATATGGGGAAAGTAATTGATTGTCAATTTCAAGCCAACTGCACGCCGTTTTTTTTTCGTTTATACGGTATCTACCGTATGATGATTATGATATGAAAAAAAAGGGTAGGTTTTTTGGTGCCTTTATGTTATTTCACAAAAGATCGCCAACATACAGGGTGGCGCCTCTCATACGACGCGGAGGCTGCAAGGAGAACTACAGCTTGTATTGAACTGAAATTTTGTAAGCATAAATATGTAGGTGGATTTAGAGCATTTTTTAAAAATATAGAGAATTCTATAGGGGATCACAAAAAATGTTACACATCAAAGTTGTGTTTTTTGTAATAGAACACCCTATATGTATGTACATATATTAATTAATTTTTGGATTCTAGGAGAAAAATAAAGACGAGTTGCATTAGAGAAGTATATGGCTAAAATGTAAGGTGTTTTTTGGTTTGGTTGACATATTTAACTTTTTCTAAAAGTGAAGAACAAATTTTAAATATCAATAAAAGCTACCTAAACTGGAATTTACCCGGTATAGTCTAATATGTAGTTAAAACAACCATTGTGCTCTAAATTAAATTAAAACTTGGCCCAAAAAGTTATACAGGGTGCGACAAAATTAATATTGAACATTGGTCACATTTAAATGCAAGTTACTCGTTTATTTTAAATGTAACATCCAGTATATTATTCCGATATTCAATAGAGAATTCCCTGTGGGTTGCCTACCCCTCAAACAAAGATTTTTCTAGATATTTTTATTTTTATGATCTAGTGACAGTAGATCTTTATCTAGGTGGCTGGTGATATGTCTTAGTGCCGGTATTAGTATCCTAGGTATATCAGAGAAAATTGATATGATTCTATTAGTTGGGGGCTGCAGTGTGCATTGACGCCATTGACTAATTAATAGAATATTTAAATGCTCTTGATTTATCTAGTCTGGACTTTTTTTTATCTGGATATGTTAAAAGACAGTGTTTTCAAAACTCGACCAACATGTTGACAACATGAAAGAATTAATTGTGGCTGCTTTTCGAAGTAGAACTTCACATAATATATATATCTCTTAACATGCAAAGAGTATATATTTTATGCCGCGAACAGGAATGGGAATAATTTTGAGCATTTGATTTCATCTAACTAATTTTTGTTACCTACATAATTATACGTTTATATCTAGTTTCAATTATGTAATAATTAAAATATATTTTAAACGTGTATCCGATTCGGTATCCGAGCGTTTATCTTTTTATTGTCGTTGAATATTTTACTCTACATGCATTAATTTTGATTAAAATTAACATAAGGCATATCACAGCCACCTAGATTTATCAAATAATAAAGATCTACTGAAGTAAAATCATAAAAATGAAAATATCTAGAAAAATCGTTGTTTAAAGGGCAGGCAACCTTAATAGTATTTTGAAGATATGTATATGAATTCTCCATTGAGTATTGGAATAATATACCAGGTGTTCTATTTAAAATAAAGGAGTAAATTGCTTTTAAATGTGATCAGTATTCAATATTAATTTTCTCTCACCCTGTATAACTTTTCGGGTCAAATTTTAATTTGATTTAAAGTACAATAGTTATTTTAACTACATAATACTCTATACCGGATAAATTAATATTATAATTTAGGATAATTATAGGTAATTCAGGTAGCATTTATTGAAAATTTAAGTTTGTTCTTTATTCTTAGAAATTGTTAAATAAGTCAAAAACTTTACATTTTAGCCATATACTTCTCTAATAAAACTCACCTTAATTTTTCTCCTAGAATCCCAAAATCAAATTTTAATATAGGGTTTCCATTACAAAAAACACAACTTTGATGTGTATTTTTTTTGGTGACACCCTGTAGAACTCTCTATATTTTTAAAACGATGTACTTAAACAGCCGTTAAACGGTAGCCTACTAAAATGCCGTTAATAGATATTGTGACGTCGTTCATATTGGCGGAAAGTAATGCCTACCTATAAGCATTTTGCAAGAGGACCTGTGGCTCCGTGGTTGAGGCTATCGCTTCGTGAGCGAATGGTCCGTGGTTCAAATCTCACGCCGACCAAGACTTTTTTATATTTTTGTTGCTTATAGCGTGATCTTATTGCATTGGTTTCGCTCTTTTTGGTCTTGGCGATCTTTTGTGAAATAACATAAAGGTTTTGTTAAGCCACCAAAAAAATGGTTTAGCATATTGTTATTAGCGCTTTATTTGTTAAAATGGTTAAGCAATATTACTATTAACGCAAATAAAAACAGAGAATCGACTGAACAGTCAACTAACCAATTTATGGAGGCAGATTTGCATCATGCGAGTAGCTGGCTTAGGTGACACGTGACACCACCACACAACTAAATTCATCGGCAGTTTTTGACTTGGGAGCATTTTTTTGAACCGCAGATTTTTTCCCTTGTACTCATCGCAGGAAAGTAGCGGTTTCTTAGAAAACCGACGTGCGGTTGGTAGTTTTCAAACGAAAACCTTTTTTACTGGATGTAGAGAACGGCAATAGGAAATCCGATACCAGCAGGAAGTTGCGTGAAAGCCATATGACATGCACCATCTTTCAGATTAAGTAACCAGTTTGAAATAAAAATACCGAGAAACATTCCAATAGGCGACGTTAGCCAAGGTTATTTTGTTGATGTTAATAGATAACAAAAGGCATAACTAACAAGGGTGTATATGATTAAAAGTATATTATTTCTAACTACTTAATTATCCCAAAAATTTTGGTATACATTTTAGATCGAAATTAATTTCAAATTCGCAAACGCGCGTTTAAAGTGCAAAAATGTTACCTACTGTTTGAATCAGTGATCTAGAAAATTGTCATTTTGATGATTAAACTTTTCTGTTTACAGGTATTTTCCAGGGTATTTTATTTTTATCATTTTTCCTCGCATTTTTCATTAAACTTAATAGTCCAGGAGGCAGTGAAATTCTTTTGTACTTATTTTCCCAGTGGATGAATATACTTATAGCCCACTATATCCTAGTGGGTGAATATAAAATAGTTTTTCGGATGGTAAGTAATATAAATTGACAATTTGTGAGTTTGGCTAAAATTTTCGGATGCGTTTTATCTCGGGTTTTATAAATAAAATAAAAAAAGTCCACTTATTTTTCCAGTCATAAATATTTGACATTTATTAAAGTGAATCATTTTATTATTGGAAATAACAGACAGGCACATCCCAAGTGGTGGAAAGTCAGTCTGGCTGAAATTTGAGGATGAAAAAAGTTTACAGATTTTTAAAATAAATAACCTTTATTTTCCCATGCTTGAAATTTAACGTATCATTGGAAAACTATTATAAACTAAAATCAGAAGCAAGTCTTGCAGATTTACGAAATGAATCTGGCGGCATCTTGAAAGTGAAAAAATTACAAAATTTTTGTCACATGATAAATAATACTATAATTTCATAGAGAATACACGTCTGGCTGTCATTTACAATGATAAAAGCCTCGCTAGACTCACAAGCCAGATCGTACATTTCCTATTTTTAGATGCGAAAATTTTTCAGGCTCTGCAAATTCGTGATTTTCAATATAGCAAATTTTCCATATAGGGATAACAACAATCATCTGTATAATTGAACATGCCGAATTTAGCGTGCCTTACGAGCGTTGTATGAGTCTGGCAAGGCTTTCGGGATGTTCCACATGAGCCATTGTTAAACTATTTGCAGCTGTAATTATAAAATATAAACTATCATCTGACAAATTTTTAGGACTTCGAAAATAATGGCAATGGTTTCAATAATTTTTATCCAATTTTTCACCTGCCAGACATTATTACTCAGCCTCGCTCAGATATACAGGATGATTCACGGCCATGGCACGTCAGACGTTTATGGCGGACCGGTGATAGGATTTTTTTGAAAATTTGGATTTTTGCATAAAGGCAACTGCTCCATCTATCTAAATTACTTTCAGCATTACAGAGTTGCCGTTTTATACTAAAAGTGGTAGTATCCTTGTTATTTTAAATAGAACACCCTGTATATTATTATATTTTTCGAAACTACTTACTACCGTATCTAAAAAATTTTCTATGGTACTAACCTATACTGTCTACTATATCTGTTAATTTTCGAGTACTAAACGCAGTTTTACACATAAAAAATAAAAACAAAAATAAATATCAAAACTTGATATATATCCGATATTTGATATTTTTTATAAATATCATGATATTTGCCAACCCTGTGTAAAAGTATATGGGAAATGTCATCGATGCTCATTTCCCAGTTAATTTCCAAGCCAACTGGACGTCTTTTTTTTCTATCATACTTTACAATGTGTATAAATGTGCCAAATCTCGAGTGCCCTTCACATGTGCCAAATCTCGAGGCAAATGGAAAAAACTCTGAAATAAATGCAATTTATGTTTATGTGTATAATAAATATAAATAATAATCGATTAAATTATAGTTAATATAAAATTTGATTAACAAATTAGTTTTATTTAACAACCGGGGAAATTGCGGTCGTGAAGACTAGATAAAGACAGGCTGTGACAATACTATGTATGTATATCAAGTTGTATTTAACATCTTCATTAAACTAGCAACAATGGGTATATTGTAATTG